GAAATTGAATACCGTGACCTTCCTTAGAGCCCAGGCACAAAGGCAATAGCATCAGGCAACACCAACTGCTGGCACCCAGATGGTAAAGAAGGCAAGAAAGACAAAAGCATGACCTTCCACTTTGGAGAGTAAGGACATGTCCCGTGGGATGATGGGAGGCCTCTCCCTGAAAAAGTTGATTTACTCAAGAGTGCTTGCACTACCCTGTTTGAAGTGTGGCATGGACCATTTTCAGGTTCTGCTGCCTTCCCATCTTGGTAAAAGAAGAATTAAGTTTCCAGAATGAAGGCAAAAAGGGGGAGGGGGTAGAAAATGATTCTCAACTGTGAAGCACAACATATGCTAGCACGAAATTGAACAGCTTTCCATGCAACATATTCTAGCCAAGCTATTAGTAACACCTGATACACCCATGGTTCCCTATCAGTTACCTGCCAGCAATGAGCAATTGACTCAATATTATCAATTATGTTCCTTTCCCCTTTCCTTCCCTCCCACCAATTAAGCATCTGTTAATCATGAGAAATAATCCTCTTCTTGGAAAATAATGGGACAAACAATGAGTTCTTGCAATAAAATTGAGTATTATTGTAAATAATCATTAAGGTGTCCTGAAATAAGGTTGAGCCATATAATTATCCCAGAGATTTTAAGCACTATTATTTAACAAAACTCCTGTGGAAAGGTAAGCTGGTCAGGTCTGAGAGCCTTTGCATACAGATAACGTGTCAGAAATACCAGTCTCTACAACCTTTCCTCATGCATGTGTTTTCTAGAGTTCTCATCATTCTTGTGCCTTTTACCTAGTATTAGCATAAATGAACAGACACAAGATAGACCCATGTTCTCACACAGGCCCATACAGAACCAATAAGAGTAGATCACACAATCAGGAATTCTCTTTAAGAGGATCCTTTTTGTCTATCCCCCCCCGCCACACCCTTTGATTTAATCCACTCAACAGAGCAGCCCTAGCACTTGCCATGACCATGGCAAGGTCTGAGGTTACTTAGGCAAGAATGAAATGTATCTACGACAGACTCTTATGTGGATGCTGAAGCGACAAACATCTTACACAAGGCAATGTGATACAGAGCAGGTGCATACAAAGAGACTGAATCCAAGTTGTAGTTTAGGAAACTCTAACCTGCTTGCCTCATTCTGCAGTATTAATTAGTTTTTTTTTTACTCGGATTGAGTTCTCACTCCCTGAAGGAACAGATCTCCAGTTTACAGAAAGCACCTCTCCTTGCCACAGTGTCTAATGATGTGCTGTCTACATGTGAACAGCACCTGCAGCCCTGTCTCTGCCCTACACATCTGCAGGTTCCTGATCCAAGAGAATCACAGATGGAATGAAATTTAGCAGCTTCTTCCCCAGGTCAAAACCCCAGTGCCCACAACAGGGAAGAAGGCAACCCAGCAGGACGCAGCATCTCAAACAAACAGGGATAATGAGACTTACTGCTCTGTCTCCTTTGAACAAATGCCTGTGTGGCTTCCAGTATTGGTGACTAAGTGGCAGTTGCCCATTTCGTTGGCAGTTGGAAGCAGAAAACCTACCTAAAACTGCAACTGTACAACAGACCTTCTAAAACAGCCATCTACCTGGGCAGCCTTGCATCAGACAGAAGGACAAGTGTGTACACATAAAACTTTCAACCTGATTTAATAGTTTCTTGCCAAATATGTAATTACATGTTTTTCCACAAACACTGGAACCATGTACCAAAGCAGGCTACAAAGTTCACCTCTAAGTCTAGAAGACTTGGCCCAACTTGGCCCTGCACTTTCCAGCTAAGACTTGTTGGACATTTCTTAGCAGAATTGATCATGTCTACCTGACGCCCAGATGCCTTTCATGGTATGAATCAGGAAAAGCAGAGGATTGCAGCACAGGCCAGTCACATCCAGTTCTTCTCTGCCCCACCCCATCCTTCATCCTTCCTGTAAATCTACAGAAACTACTTGTTGTTTCCTTCAACTTACTTCTAACTGGATTCTGATCCACCTGCTTTATGCTTTTGTTTGCTTGGAGGATTCATATGTGAAGGTGCTAATCAATCACCTGTACTGATTTATCATCTTTAAAGTGACCATGGATCTGAAGGTACTGGCCTGACTGCTCAGGGAAAAGACATCTAATACACAATATACTTTTGGGACTAAGATCTTAGAAATATTGTAATCCTTATAATGGCAATAATAAAGATGAAAACCACTGAGTTATATCTGAACATCGTGTCCACAGACAATAAGATAAGAATCAGTCAAGATTGCAGAACCAACTCTAGTCCTGGGAAGGGGGAAGAGGAGGAATAAAACAATTTCCCACCCAGAAAGTCAATAAAAGAAATCAAGAAAATATCTCTCTCATTAATAGCAATTTATTATCATTAAAAGTAACAACAAGTAGGTTTAAATCCTTTTGTCTTAAAAATCTATGTAACACACAGGTCACTGCTACAGTTCTATGAAACCTATGGCAAAATTGTATCCCCAAATCACACTGTTCTGCCTCATCCTCATAGACATCAATGGGGTGGGACACATGCAAAACCAGATTGCTCTATATATCCCTTGTCCTAAGGATGATCATTAGGCTTCAAGATGCTACAAGTTATTCTGCAAGAGCTATTAAGTATAACTTTAGTTTTCCTCTTTGTTAATATTGCTGGAACAATCAAATATTTCACATAGTTTTTGGTGAAGTCGTAAGAATCTTTTAAGAACTGTATTTTTTCCTTGTATCTCTTCTTTGCTGCTAAAGTTTTCCTTTTTTTCCTTTTTGCCCCTTAGTGACATGGCTGCCCCGCTGCTGCAGGAGACAGAACCGCAGCGAAGTTTGCAGTCACTCTCCACACAGAATCACGTATTTCCTTCACATTCAGAAGCTAGTGCTCAGCTCTAGCACTTACCTTTAACATTGCTGCCAGAAAACCTGGCAGCACACACTTCAGGAATACTACATGCTTAATCTCCAGCTTCTTTGAGAGCTCTAGAGCTTAAGTTAAGCTCAAGCTAAGTACCCACAATAGCTAACTTACAGCTAGTTCAGATTTGTGTAAAGGAGCAGCAGACAGATGTTCTTCAGTAGCTTGCAGGACCAAAAAAAAGGCTCCACAAGCAAGCATGCTTACTGGTGAAAAGGAAGGATGGTCCTACTTCTGTCAAAAGCATTCAATGTGTTGAATTTAAGCTTACAACGTTACTCAATATGCAAAAGTAAGAGAAGCCTCTATGTGAAACCTTTATGGATAGCACAAATGCAGTGAAGGAAGAAACAGAACGCAGGTAAACTTTATATAGCTACTCAGATGTGGCTTGATTTCAGGTACACCAGAAGGTCTTGTTCTTCAGAAGACCCCTTAGATGGATATTTCTGCACGAACTTCACAGCAGCATGTGGAATTGGGGAGCTCAATGAAAACAGATCAGTAAGCAGCTTCACGTACATCCATCTCCACTCTGGATTTAGAGTCATGGGAAAATAAGTATAAACATAACCATAGGACAAATATATGTAGGAGGTACTAGAGCAACAGATTCTATGAACAGACTCCAGTTGTTCTACAACAGCAGTTCACACTGTTCTCTAAGCAGGCCCACAAGTTAAACTCCAGCAGAAAAGGGAGTGTTGAATTTACTCAATTAAAAATACTTTTTTGGAGTTTGTTCTCAGATGGATCTCTTGGGGAAAAAAAATAAAACAATTCTTACAGAAAAACTAAGAAGTCCTGCCTTACCCAACATCCTAAACTACTATCTTGCTTTGTATATGTACCTAACAGTTTATGAATATCCCACACTTACTCAATAATACCTTAATGACTTTTAACTGAGGTAGCCACTAAACCATCACCACACATTAGCGATGCCAATACAAAGGGAAAAGCTCAACTAAGAACAGTTACTTTGCCAAAAGCAGTAGTATTTGCTTCCAAAAATGAAATTTTCTGTCTTGCCCTCCTCCTCCCACCCTTGTTTCACTTCCTGTTTCTCCTCTTGCCCATCTCTAACAACCAGCAACGAGGAAAAATTTAGCTTTCCACTTCATTTGTAAAATGTCTTTGGATATTCAACAGCAAATTTTCAAAAGAAGAATCAGTGAATTTACTTTTAAATGAATGCCAATTAAAAACTAACACTGAAGGACAACCTCCAACTCCAGCCTCTGACATATCAGGTGCCAGCTCTATCATTTCCCCACATGTGCTAGAAGCTGCGAAAAGATGCCTGCACACACAAAACACAGAAGTTGTGAAAAGGTCCCTTTCATTGTAAGTCTTGTCCCATATATGTAAACACACAAAGCATTACCTGTCTAATCGCTGTCTTTCAGGTACTCAGGAAGTTAAAATAAAATGGCAATTATCATTCCCCTAGCTAAAAGGTACATAGATGTAGAATATCCTTGACTTTTCTAGTGGCATTCATTTTTTAAAATGAAAATATTTTCAAATTACTTCTGTAGTTATAATAGCCTATATTCAAATTCAACATGAAAAAAAAAATCAACTTTAAGAATAATTAATACCCTGGTATTTTTGAAAACATTTCCAGGATTTTTTTGTGGTCCCTTATCACAGATCTTTTCAGGGTAATTCAGAATCCCCTCTACCTACATCCAAATCAACCAACCACCCAAACAGGAAAATCTCAACTGAAAATCAAAACGTCCCAATATCTAAGTTGTTTAATACTTGTATTGCAGAATGCACATTTAGTTAAAGTTCTGTAGTTTAAACATTCAGTCCTGACTTCTTTTCTTCAACCACTATTTTCTCTATCTAGATCAGATACTGTGTGTATATCCCCAAATATAAAAATAAAATTCTATGAATTGTATGCAACCATACATAGTGCAGTTCAAGCAATACTGAGGTGTTCTCCTTGTTTCTGCAATGCATGTGGACAACAGCAAACTGCGGGGTGATGACTGTAATGTGGTCCTTGGGCTTCTTCTTCCACAGAGACACACAAAGCTACTTTTGTTTTAAAACTCTAGGCTAAACCAGGGAGACATTAAATAATTTAACTGTGGTAACTGTACTGTCAAGAATTTCTGAATTTCCTTATACATGTCTAGATTACCCAAACAGATTTTTTGTTAGAAGTCCTTCCTTTACTAGAACTCCTTTTTCAAAAACCACACACCAAAAAGCTGTTTCCTGCTTTGATTAGATACAGCTGCTCATCAGGTAGGAGTAGATGAAGGTAGCTTATTACATTATATAACTAACCTCATCCTTATGAAGCTTATGTAATACACAAATTAAAGATTCCAGTTAAGCATCACCACATACTAACCCTTCATATTTGTATAAGATGACCAGCTATTAAATTGTTACTAGTGCAACTGTACACAGGCATCTTGCTTTACCATACTTATGTTATAGTTCTCTTCTTAAAACATTCCACAACCACCTCTGCATTTGGGTAATTTTTGTCCATTTCATCTATTCAGCCGCTGTGTTACCACTTCCCGGTACATGATAGAGATATATATCAGCAGAAGAAAAATTACAAAGAAATCATCTAAGAACCCCAAAATTCCAAAGAGGGCTTCAGGAAGAAAATCCAGAGGTGAAGCCAGGTAGAGTAAGGCTCCAAGCAAGCAGAGGAATATTCTGATGCGAAACATCCAGAAGAGGCCCCCAACAGAAAACATCTCCCTGAAAGCATGCCGTAATAATGTGGGCAGATCCATAATTCTTTCCATAATCTATGAAGAAAGAAACCAAGAGTCAATATTTTGCTTTAGCAACAGGCCCATGCTAAATGGGTCTTTTTCTTAGGCTGGTTTCTATTACTACATTACAGCTTTGGAATCTGTTAGTTTATAAGAATTGAAACAAAAATCAGTAAGACAAGACTTTCTGGATTTAGTTTTGCTGGGTAAAAAGTCACATTTAGAATATATATGTTTTCAAGAAATAGTAAAACTGTGTTATTCTATACTGTAAACTCACTACAAAATACATTGGCATCTATTAAAAAGGAAGAGCAGTGACTACTAGAGCAAAACAAATGACTGAGAAAGTGTGAAACAGCAAACAGGTTAACTGGAGTGAAATATTGATCAGAATGGAAGACAACTAGGGATTGTGAAAAAAACCCAATATGTAAAGTAGGATAGGCTGCAGTTCTTCAGAAACGCAACAGTCCCCAGCCTGGCATATGACCAGTGATTCACATAAGTTTCCAAAGGATGGATCAAGCTTCAAAGTAAACCAAAGAACCTTGAAATGAATCCATCCCTGGCTCCTTTCCATTTTTCTACTAGGATCCTGTCATCTCAGTGAGGGACTGCTCAATCGAAAATAGTCAGATTTTTGTTGTGAGGCATAGGGTGAGGTGAACTTTGAAATTTTTTTTATACTGGTTCCTTTTCTACTGACACAGTTTCTACACAGAGCCATGACATTAAAATGAGTTATTGCCAAGGCTGAAAAAGGTCTCTAGAAAGTAGTTTTGTATGTGGTTGAGGCAATACACTGTGTATAAACCAAAGACAATTTATCTAGTCTGATCAGGGCTTTAAACCAAAGACAATTTATCTAGTCTGATCAGGGCTTTAATGCAGACTTCTGGCATGACCTCTGACACATTACTGGGGACTAGACACAGAGCCCATAGAGAGGTCCAATGGAGCCTGAAAGGTAGTTTTAACTTATTCTGGTTCAGAAGTATAACTGTTTTGTCATTTACAATATGAAAAAAAAAATTCCTGTCTCACACTTCTTCTGTCTCTTTGGAGTATAAAATCTTGTTGCTATATCCAAACAAAATGAACAGATGAAGACAAGCAGGGAAATTCCTAGTATGCATGCATGTGCTTTTCACCTTGTAAATCAGAACATGCACATCGAAGACAAGCTCACAAGGCTGACTTTCTAAAGTTCATAGAAAGTCAACCATCTCTCTTAGCTATTTATAAAAAAAAAAAAAAATCTTGTTTTTTTCATTCAAAGAGCAGAATAAAGACTGCAATACACTCTAGGAGGAAAATAAAAAAATCAAGACAGCATATAGCTTAAAATCTGAGGAAGAAAGGCACAGAGTAGAACTTCAGATTCTTGTAATCAATGTAAAGACATCAATCAGGTAAATATTCTTCCCTGCACGTCATGTATTTCATTAAGTGTTTTCACTGGATAATTATTAATCCTTTCAAATTAATGAGTCATAATTTTAAAAGAACTTAAAATATGAATAGGGAACTCAATGCTCATTAGCAGTCCTCACTCTCAACAAAAACGCAAAGTTTCCATATATTTCCACAAATTGCAAATAGATATTTTCAAGGTTGTAGGTTTGCCCTAACTATATAAACATGAATTTCCTAAGGAAATATTGCATAGTCCCTAAGCATCATGAAGAGAAAATTCATAACCCAGGGGAAAAGAAAAGGAGGAAAAAAGAAACCAAAACAAAAAAACCTGCTGTTAATCTTGCCTAAAATAACTGACTTCCACCCAAATATACCCCAAACTTACAGATCTGGGCTGTCCCGAGAATCTCCGATTGTAGTCATTAACATCTTGAAATACTTGGGTTGCATCCTGCTGATCTTCACCAAAGAGTGGTAAAAACAATGTTACCTAGGCACATCAGGGAGATTTTGTTACATGTGCAACTGTCTTTTAAATACAGGCATTGTGAACTATAAATGAAAACAGCAATCTTCAGTTAACTACATAGAACAAACTTTGTTTTAGTTGAATATTTAGGAACAAAATAAAATGAAAACTACTAAGATGGATACTGCTGCTAAGTTTTAACAAATTAATTGCTTACAACTCTTTACAGAGTGTTATTTTTTAAAAAAAGATTGTTAAAAACAAGCATAAGAACTCTCCTTCACAGAGAGGCTTACAAATTTTTCTAAACATCTAGATGTTTCAGAAGTGGGACAGATGATTTGGAGAAGAAAGTTGATTTACCAAATTAATCTAGTTTTGTTTCTTAAACTGAAAAGCAAACAAAGCAACCAATGAGGCCATTCTTATTCCATCTTTAGAATGGCCTCGCATTTCAGCAAACAAGCAGCAAAACTTTTCAATGTGGACGTTCACACCAAAACCAAGAAGAATAACATAGAATAATAAGTTAACAGAAAAAGATATTAACCTTCAGCTCTCCTGTAAGCACAGAGAACTCTGCTGTGCTCTTGGGTTAACTTTCATGCAAACATAGAAAAATATGTAAGATCATATTCACATATATCTTATACTATTTTTCTGTACAGGAGTTTCTGAAAACTTAAGACTTTTATTTGGAAGTGATGATCAGGTATAAAATGCAGACTACCATAGGAAACAGAAAATGCATAGCACTTTAAATTATTACAGTCTTCAAAAGCTCCCTCTGTACCTGGCCACTAAATACATATCTGTGCAGCAGTCACATTTAGCAAATGACAGCACAAGCAGATCTACATTCAACTTCTAGCCCTGCCACAAACCTTCTGAATGACTCACGTTGTTAGTGTGTACATACTTCCATTCCTCACTTATAAATCAGACCTTACTTTTCTTATTTCACAGGGTGAGAAAGAATGCATAATCATGCAAGCAGTTCTACCCAATTTACCTGTTACTCAGAGGAAGGCAGAAGAATATCTATGTAAGGAGAGACACTAAAAAAAAAACCAAAAACTTATTTTCCCCTTTTTCCTCTTCCTCACTTTTATTTTTTGAGTCTCTTTCCTCACTGGCTACACTCCAAACTTATTAATTCTTCCTCTAGTCATACCTATTTTTCTTTCATTCCTCTGTCTTCTTACAGTCATCTGTCCTGCTGATACACACAATCAAAGCATGATATACTGTATGGACAAGGGCATGAAGCATGTTACATAATTCATCAGAAGTTACTACCGTTAAAATAAAGATGTACTTTTGTTAGAACATACACTATAAGACTCAGAGATCCTCAGTGTTAATAAGTTGCAGGGACATATTTCAAACTGACAATGTAAGTAAGTTTCGTAGGAATTAAGTTAATGCTTGCTCTATAAAGCTCAAATTAATAATACATACAAACTAAAAATAGGGACAAAGTAAGAAACTGACATGGATAGGTTTTTTTTGGCAGGGAAAGAAGGGAGTGGGTACTTCTCAGAAACCACTAGTATAATGCCTACTGGCAGTCTTCCACAACAGCCAGGTCTTTCAGATGCCAGTTCTGGCAAAGAAGTTATATAACATCCTGAACAGAAAGCATGGAAGAATCATAACAGTTAAGATCTTACAATTTTCTGTTTTCACATACTCCTTTACAGAAAAATGGCTGAGTTATCAGTGCTGTTCACTTAAAAGTTCCAGGAACAATCTGTATTTTTTGAGCCATTTGGCAAAGCAAAAAGTTCACAAAAACTTTATGTCCACCATCTACATCTCACATATCCATATTCTTTCAGCTTCTCAGACTTCTGTCAGTCTTGCTACTGCAGTTCACATGTAAGTGCTTTTTTCGTAAGCTGTACTAGATACCCAAACTACCAGGTCTGTGGTTACTTAAAATATTACCGTTTGTCTGCAGATTGGACAACGGATGGCACCAAGCCATGAGCCGTATCTCCAGTAGGCAATAATGCAGGAACCTGATGAACATAAGTTACAGACATTTAAACTTCTGAGTTGCAACACCCACTGCATGAAATATGTTACACACCAAGCAAAACAACAGAAGTGTATAAGCAGTTAGGTTAAACCTATATTTTCTGGTGTAATTTTGTATACAGCATTCACTGAGGATTCCAAGAACCAATGTGTTCAAAGCCAATGCTACTAATGAGAAAAACTGTGAATAGATTCAACTGCATGATTAATTTTAAAGTATTTTTTCCTGAAAAGACAAAAAACTTCTTAATAATTAAGTGAAGAAGCAAATAATTGAAATTTTTACCAGTCTAAAATTCAGTAGTCATAAAAATGTCAAGATATGTAAAATTCATCCTAAAAACCTGGCTCTATTATCAGAGTTCCAACAGGTGAAGGAATACATAAAAATCTGAGTACTTTAACTGTTTTCCAAATTTGCATTTTTTTTTTTTTTTAATGCCTAGGCATAGTATGCACTATATACACCATAAAACTAGATTAATGCAGTGAAAGAATCCTACTGGAAACTTGAAGGGGAGGAAGCAAAATGCTACATAGGGCTTTTACACATAAATTGGAATAGTTGGGCCTCAAAAAAAAGAAGGCAAACACTTTACGCATTGTGAACTTAAGTCTTAATTCTTCAGGACTTCCTGAAAAAAAAACCCAACATGCTGAGATAAAGATAATACCAAGCAGAAATTTCTACTCTTTCTAAGCCAGTTTTTTTTAATGGTACATTTCCAAGTGTTATTCAACCTCTTCAGATTTTTACTAACTGGAAAGAAACTATACTCTGTCCTTGACATTTTTAAATTAACAGCAGTTTCAATCCTGATAGCACAGAAAAAAATGCAGCATACTCTCAAAGTAACTGTTTATTTCCAGATGTATTTTCTCAACAATTTATATAGAAATTATTTCTGATGCAGACTAGAAGATAAACAGTTAAAAATCAAACAAAGCCTTGCATTAGGATGACTGTACTAGTGCCAAAACTTGGTATTTCTGTTCTGGTTTATTTTCATATTTCTATTCTGGTTTTATCTTTGGGGCTTGGGGTTTTCTTGCTCACCACAGAAGAGATGTCCACAGTTTGTTTCTATAGGAAATGTAGCCTGTTGCAAACAGACTGGACAGGACATATCTGTATAGAAGCGATGTCTATCACCAGCAGAAGCATCCTGCTGGAACAGAAGAGAAATACAAAGGGTTAGAGATACTATGTTTACATAAGTCTATTGAGTTAAAAAAAAAATAAAAAATCCAGTGTTCATTTACTAGAAGTCAAATGCAAAACTATGTGAAATGAAAGAGAAATACATTTAAATTAAAAAATCAAGCATACTTAAATGCAAAAACTGATTCACTAAACAAGTTCTTCTTCTGACAAGTCCATTATTTTCCCTTCATCTGTTACATAGGTATGCGCTTCAATCTAGTTAAAGACAGCAAAGAAAGAACCTCTTTGGTCCTTCACATTAAGCTAGGTTAGACATGCTGACACACGAACAACTACCAGGATCTAGACTGTTACTTCATTATCCTAAGTAGCCCTGGCCAGAGCCAGGTAACTGAACTGCATTGCTTACCCACTGCAGTATTTAGTGTTCCAAAGCCCAAGCACAGACATCAGCTTGTGTATGTCACTGCCACAAAATGGTTTTTATTCCCATTTTGCCATATTTATCTTCCACATAAATATGCACTGTAGTTAAAAATCTGTTACTCTTTCAAGAAGTATTATGATGAAAGACCCTCCTCAACACTCTCCCAAAAGTATGGCTTTTCACGCTACACCTGGGACTCAGCAATTTCCAGTAGCGTGGTGTAGACTCTCCAATCCTCTCCTCTTCATGACAGAACCGGGTGCCATCACAGAACCACAGAATGGTTTGGATTGGAAGGACCTTTAAAGATCATGTAGTCCAACTCCACTGCCATGGGCAGGGACATCTGTCACTAGACCAGGTTGCCCAGAGCCCTGTCCAGCCCGACCTTGAACACTTCCAGGGATGGGGCATCCACAACTTCTCTGGTCACCTTTTTCAGTTCAAAACCGTTGCCATTTGTCCTGTCACTAAAGGCTTTGGTAAAAAGTTTTCTCTGTCAGTCTTTGTTGCCTGGTTCTCACTGCTGTGCCATTGTTCGGCTACACAGTTTATCAGCTGAAACATCTAACCCCTGTCCTGTGGCAGCAAGCTGTACTGCAGATTTCCTTTCCTTTACCACTAAGTTCCCAGGAACATTGCAGGAAGCACACAGCATAATCTAGCACACTCCACCTTGTGGCAAAAAACTTATTTGAAAAAAGAACAAGTACTTAATTTTAGTTACTTAACTTATCCATTAAAAAAGGCTACGTTATCTCATTACTTGATAAATTTCAAGAATGCCTCTGTACAGTAAGTAAGCTTCCATGATTTTCAAGACCAGCTTCTTCCAGAACCTCAGAGAAGTCTACACTACCCCAAACCAGATAGGTGAATGATGCCAACACTTAGCACAGCACCTGCTCAGTTTGAAGCTGCTGACGAAGAGCTCGCACTAGCTCTTGATTTTCTGGGTGTATGTTCTGATGTTCATTTCTGTGAAAGGAAATATAAGCAACAATAAAAACTGAACACTGTGACCCAACACTGAAAAATAACTGATTAAAAAAAAGAAACTTGAACAAAGGGCAAAAAAATAATTCTTTCCTGCTCTAAAGGATTTTAAAGGAAGTACACAAACAATTAATGAAACAGGACATTTTTTCTAGATTCTAAAGTTAATCTGGACACTTAAAGCTGTACAGCAGCGCGATTTTTCAGAGAGATTCCATAATCATGAAATCATGTTAAAACTAGATTTTCATCTGAAACAGAATTAAGCCATTAGCCTGGAAAAAATCAAGTTGTTTGAAAGCTTTTATATTCATCATGCATAAATATTTTTAATTTTTGTCTCCACTGCTAGCTTTTGTGTTGTTGGTCTACTAATAAACTCATTTTTTTTCACTCACTACCTAAGTTATAGAGCTGAAAAATCCCAATTATTTCAATTTTATCTCCTACATAAAAGATTAAGACATAACATTTGCATAAGAAGGGGTAGGTAAACTCTTAGTTTTAGAATTTTGAATTTATATAGCTATCAGCAGACTAGATATAAAAAGAAATCACTAGTTTTAAATCATTCTTTAAAAAGAAAGACACCACAGGCAAGAAAACTACAGGTTAGAGATGCCAAGGGGAATCGTAGTGAAGGAACTCACTGAAGAAAGGAGGTTGGATATATTACAAGTTTGAAATTCAAAAGCACAATGGGAACAGAATTGGAATTAAAAATTACGCTGGCAACATTAAGAGGTGTGGAGTTACAATAAATATGAGTCAATAGCATCGTACTAAAACCTGCATTTTTATGCTGTAATTATTCTTACGGATTTCACCAGTGATACATTCTGCTCAGTACTGTTGATGTCTCATCTGGATTCTGTTTTCAATTTTGGGCTAAATGCATAAAAACATGTAGAGAAGTTGGAGGAAGTTCAGAAGAGAATAAGAACTACTGCCCACATTTTTTAAACATTAGAGAAAAAGTGGAGAAATGTCAGTTCATATAGAAGACTGTTCATGGAGAGAAAAGGGGACAGTATAAGGCTTTAATTCTATAAATACGAGTAATTAATTCCCACAATTATCTAAGGTTGGTGCAAAAACATTTCTAACCACTAAGTGTGCAAAATCAGAAAAGGTCACCTTAGGGTACAGTCTATCTTTGACTAAAAGTTAAATTGAAAACAGGCTGCAATGCTCCCAGGGGTGATCTGGGCAAGTTGATCCTCTGTCAGAGCTGAATTTTTAGGACATTTTCTGGTTGCAGTGCTATTTACGTAATTTCCTCAGTAGCTCTAGGAGCTTCTGCAGTATTTTCCTTCACGTGGGCAATCATAATACTGCATTACTGCTATCTTTAACGTTTTGTCTCCTCCACTCTTTTTTCAAAAAGGAACAGACAAACCTCATATTTTTCATACTAATAATTACACAGTCTTTTGTAAAAAGTAAACATATTTAACACTAATGTGGGTGGATATATATGAACGTTATATGATGAGAAGTTTACATTAAAGCCCTTCTTGCCCACCCTGGGTCTCCACGAGTCAGATTTTGTGGATGTTGTGTGTTTTGCGTGTTATAATCTATAACAGTATTTTCTGGTTTAAATGCTACAAATGAGCTTATTTTGCACCTTCAGTTTGCCAGAACTTTGATATATATTGAAATTCAATTCAAATCATGTACAAGTGGAAGGTGTGAATTACAAGCCAATTTATTCTGATTCCTTCATGAACAACTAATTGCAAGTTTGCAGCTAAAGCATTATCCAGTGAAAAGCTATACTAAGCAAAGAAGACTTAAGTGCTCAAATTTAAAAAGTAGACATGGTGAAGTTACCTGGGCGATATCTGCATATCATCCTTATTCAAATACTTCATTTATTTGACTTTACTCTGGTATCACATACAATGTGGAATATATGAGAGTATTTGTAGAGCTGCAGAGGTACAATATGCACAATATATGTCATTATGCATAAGATGCTGATGTAGCGGAACACTGTGAGATGTCCAGGAGGGGACAGGCAGAGCTCAAGACATACCCAATTTATAACTTTTGTCATGTAATTAGAGTGAGAAAATAAATGAAATAAATGAAAAACAATATGGTGCTATGTATTAAAGGCATTATCAAACACTAGCCAGAAAGAAATAAAGTTAGATGTGTAGTCTTTTAATTTGACCATTTCTGAGTGCTAGCACTACATAACTTGACATGGAAAGATTGTATTATGTATCACAAAGGGCCCCACCAAACTACCATTACCAGAAGGACAAAGGCTGCCTACTCATTCACTGTGCAGTCTCACACAGGGAAAGTGAGGGACAGTACTTACGGGGACTGGTGTATCACTGTGCAATGATGGCCATTGTTAATTTCCAAGGATTAAGGTCTCATTTCTGCTGAAAATACTGACTTGATCTTATAATCAAATCATATGATAGGATTAAAAAAATGAGAGAAAACGTAAACCTGCATATTCATAAACATGGGCTAGGTAAGTCATCTGGGACAAATAGGGAATCTCTGCTATAACACACTTGAGGGTCAGGCTCCCTTTAATTTGTTGGACAAACTAAATTTTCACAGTCTCATTTGTAATGTGACAACCTACTCACAATTTTGAAAGACGATGGAAAAAGTCTGGCTGCATTTTATCAAAATTTATAGCTCCGAGACATACAGGCTTTGCAAAAGTATTTCACAGTGACTGAACTAAACATCTGCAACTTGGCATATATGGTAATTACTGCTATTAAGTTTCTCCACCAAAAGCACAGAGACCTTCTACTCATGCCCTGATGTAATGCTTCACTGAGTCCTCCCTGCTGGAAACAAGTACAGTAACCATATCCCTTCACAGTTCTTTCCATATTGCACTTCTGCCCCCTAAAATCTACTGCGACATATGTGCCTTGCTGCCTACTTTCCCTTTCTATTCAGTTCCCGCAATCTTATTCACCACCCTAAGCTTTCTTTCACGTATTCTTACCCAGGACCTGTTCCTACCCAACTTCGGTATGGAACATGTTGCATACAGAAATATGGGTGGCAAAGAGACTGGGGCAATGGACACAGTATAAGAACATACAGATCACTGTATTGCCTAAGACAACTAGAAAAGAAAATACTCCTTTTCTCCCCAACTCCCCCTTCGGTGCTATATAAATAAGAAATGCTATACTTTTTTACTGTACAGATTTTCTACTATACTGTGCAGATTTTGATGGAGACAATACAAAGGAGGTAGAGGAAAAATGCTACTGAATACAATTTCAGAAGGTACCAGAAGGCACAGTGGAGAGCTAAAAGGATGCTGATAGGACTTTCAGTAGCAGTCATGCAATGCAGAAGTAAACAAGCTTCAAAACAAGTATGGAAGCTTTGTGTCTGAATTTTTTTGCCTCTCCAGAAAATAAACCATCAGGGCATGTAACAGGACCCGCAGACAAGCTTTTTACTGAGCTGCATTACACTGCAGAGGCAGTTAGTAAATAGCCCTTTTCTCCCTCCCCAACTAAGCCCTCATCACTGATGTACCACCTTCCTGAACTCCAGTCTTGAGTGACCTCCTGCTACGCTTGCGCACTGCTGACCCTTGTTCCACTCACTTTTTTTTCATGTTCCTAACTTACTTCCTTTTATAAAGTTCAAAAATAAAATGTTTACTTTTAAACTAAACATTTAAAATTCAACACACAAATGCTAAAAATGTCAATATAAAGGGTAGAGAAAGCATAAGAGCACAGGGGGAAAAGAGGCACTCATCTCAATAACTGAAACAGCCTTGGAAAGAAAAGCAAGGTGAAATGTATATGTTTCTCTTAGATTCCTTTGCTATCTCCTGGTCCTGAACAGCAGCACTGCCTTGCAGTAGTGCAACCAAGCTTTCCCACTTCTGGTTTCTTTCGTACCTTGCTCTCCAATACTGCCTACCCCACTAATACTTCTCATATGCACAGATCTTCCCCAGTAAATTCCATAATGCCAATGTGTCACTAAAATTGAGTTCTCTTAGCTGTTTAAAATCTTGTATGTTCAGAAGTCTACAGAGATCCACAACCCCCCCCTCCCAATCTGAAGCTCAGACTTATTTTCCAAAACATTTAGGCTAAGATATTTGTCAGATTGCAAGGAAAAACTCTGAAATGAAAAATAAGCCTTGATTACTTACTAACATTTTGCTTTATGGAAGCATATTAAAGTCCATTGTTTTCCAGCATATTCGTTTACAAACAAATCAGTCAATTTATTCAGGTTTGGGTTTTTTTTGTTTGTTTGTTTTTGCAGGAGACTGCAACTAGAACATACATGGAAGACTATATCCTATCTTAATTGTGGAGCCATTATTGAGAAATCTGTACTTTGTAACCGAATTATGACACACCAGCCATATGGACTCTGAAGTCAGCCATTTTCAATTTTACAGAATGATGAACATTATTCAGTTTGATCATCTGAAGATAAGGAAGAGTTAAAATTTACTTTTGAGAAATGCATAATTTCATTCTAACTATGAATTAAATTATGAAACTCTCCCAAACAATTAATTAGAATAAGTGATCAAACAATAATTTCCTTAATGTCACAAAATCACAGTTGTTTTGGATACCAATGCAAAAATTTGTTGAGAAAGTTAGAATTTTACAAATGCAGGTATGTAGATTACTTCCTGTCAACATATTCTCACCTTAAAAGCGTATATACCAGAGCAGCAATGAAAGTGAAACTGAGCACAACTGCCACCAGTACCTGGTCACTTATTCCTTCTATAACTGAATCATTATCTAGCTTCAAACTCTGAACTTCTGCTTGGTGACTGGCCATCACAGCCCTAAAATGTAAAAAGAAATATATACATATACATACATATATATATTAAAACATACACGCACATACATACATTTTAAACAGTTAAAAATAATACGTATACACATCTATTAATACACACAATACATTCCTGATGCAACAGATTAGTAATTGCTGGGAGAAAATATGATAAAAGAAGGAACAGACGCATTTTTACCAGACACTGAACTTGCTGCAGAGGACTGCAAAACATTTGTCTTGCACAGCAGCAAACAACTCTTAAATGACTGTGTTATGATCTAAACATTTTTCTAAAAAACATGAGTCAGGTACTTTACCTGGGAATCTTTACCAGACAAATTGCCTAGGAACAGGTCATTGACAATCTCGACATATTCTAAGGACAGTTCATTTAAAAAAGTGTAACGACTCTGCGTTATCAAGAATTTTAGCTACTATAGAACACATCATTGCTGCTAGGCTGGGACAACTTAATTTTTAGAAACCTAATTTTCACCACTTATGTGAAGAAAAAGACAAGGACACTTGAGGCTTAGTTGTTTTTAGAGTGTCAAATGCCCATCTGGATACACAGGAATCACCTAATGTACTTTATATTTTATCTGTCATTACTATGCATTACCATCCTTCAGCTGGAAACATGGGAAAAACTGGAAAGAGAAAGAGTATTATGAGGCTTCCCCAGTTAGACTCATTGTGTTTTATATTCATTTCATATACGCAACAATCAGAATGACTTGCCAATGCCAACATATATTACCCTACAGCGTTAACCTACAGTTAGATACAAGCAAAATAAAATCGTTTCCAACACACTGATAAATCACTCCTGTTGCAGTTAGGAAGTGAAATGAACTACAGCTGTGAATATTATGAAAGGAGAGTGAAGTGAACTCTGGCAAATGACCAAAAGAGTCATATTGAAGCTGTGTCCATGCACAAAGTATTTTTCATCCAGAGCTGACATAAAATCTCAGCATCAGTTCCTGAGGTCAGGTAAGACTAGTATCATTTACCTTACTTCCTAGTCCAGTGTGCATGCCTTAAGCTTGCAAACTTCCATCAGTGTTTCTTTCTACTTCACAGCTCGTGTGCCATGTTTTAATTTGAACCTTGCTGTCTAGCAAACATCACAGACGCTGCCTGGCCCAGAATTAATTGCAAAACTGAAATGGAATAAAAGTCTTTGGTATTTTAGTGCATACCTATAATGACTACCCTGGCAAGGTTTCAACATGCCAGTCTACTGCTAACATAAAAGTGTAATCTTTTCCATAAGATGGGTACTCTCACCCTCCAGATCTCCTCTTGTATGAGTTGGGGAGCTTTTTCCAAGCTTCCTTACATTTGTGGGAGCTGCCCTCTGTAGCAGCACTGCAAGAGAAGCTGGTATATTCCAACATTACTGTAAAAAAAAGGTAAGTGGTATAATTAAGTACCATAAGAGCAGAGAAAACTCACACAGAATGAAGGGTTGATTCCTTTAACTGTTGTTGTATTTTTGGGCTTCCACTGTGAAAAATAAAATTAAATAATGAAACATATATGAAGTGAAAAGATAAGCTGTCCTAAGTGTCCCAACCTGAACTGAGACTAACGTTTCTGTAACTACAGTAATAATTTTTGCTAATTACAGCTTTCCACAAGCAACTATGTCATAGTCTAACTACTGAAATGTTGATTAATATTTGGAAAGAGTAACTTTTCCCAAAGGTGGAACACCAGTGACTCATCAAGAGCCATGTTTAAAGTAGTTCAATATCGACACAGGTTTCATATATACTAATGAACAAAAGACCAGGTCTTGATGGAAAGGTCTTACATAGGAACAAGAGCCTATACAAGCAGTTATAGTATTTCTCTGTGTAGCTAGTTACACAATTATATTGCTATAGTCAAAGCCATGAGGCTAAGGTGTTATGAAGGTTTTCGGAGCAGCAGTTCCTTGGTGCTGAGGATCTGGACTGAGAGGTGTTCTGTGATGCCTCCCCAGCTCAACATCACCAACCTGAGTACTTTATTTCTTTGCCTATCCAATCCTGAATAAACATCTCTCTCTTACAACGTATCATTCTGGGATGCTCATTTTTCACAACTGTTTCTCAGGCAGCCTGCTTGTATCTTCAACTCCTATGTTTTCTCTCCTTAAGTACCACCATCAGTCCACTAATTTTTACTGTGTCACAGTGTCGTTTCTCAGTACAAAACCAGAAGTAAAAGGCAAGGAACTGGTATGTGATGATTTCTCCATTGCCCTGAACCAGCTATATTAGAATAGACCAACATCCTAATAACAACCACATCCCATTGTTACACGCTTGTTTTCACAAAGACACACTGTGGCAGAGACATACAGATGCTTTAACTGCACCTTTGGAAGGCAAGTGTTTCTCACACTGACACCCGAAAGGCCTCCTGTGTCACTGCTTGCTTGGTGCATTCTGAAACCAACACATGAACAAACATCATACAAAGTTAACTCGGTTTCCCTGAACAGCCATAAATCATCCACTCTAGAGCACTCTCTCTCTCTCTCTGCATGGTCCTTGCAACAATGCTCTCAGTCCTTACTTGCCTACCATTAATAGCACTCACTACATCTGCTTGCCTTCATTTCTGCTCATGCACACTTCTTGAAATATGAAACTGTGGTTAGCAGCACAAGATGAATAAGAAATACACAGATCCTCACCTTCTCTTCCTTCCCACACGTAATGACAGTTACTTGTATCTACTTCACCCCTTCACTTACCACATACGACTTTCCCAACAACCATTTTCACACAAATGTAGTGTCCAAAAAAAAATTCCTGCACAGTCTTTCTGGCTACATAAAAAGCTACTCCCTCAAACACTTTGTCTTCATGTATGTATCAATACTGCCAAGATTTAAAGAGGGGGAAGTGGAATCTTTGCCTTAGTCTCTCTCTCAGTTGCTTCTATTACTAAATTCTAGAGAAGATGGGCTACCAATGCTTAAGGCTCATGTTGTTCATGTTTTAACTTACTTGCTGCTTCTAGACAGCAAGTAAGTGCAGAGCATCTTCCCCTCATTGCCTCTAGCACTTTTTCTGAACCAGACCATTGCACAGGAGGGCTGACAGGACTTGCATAGACTAGGAACTACAAACAGAAGGGTTTCACTTCAAAAGATTAATACATACTTTCTCAGAATAGTTATTCAAGCCTCAGCAGAGACAGTAACAATCCCCTCCTACACTTATCTCTGGATTAGCATGTAAAAAAAGCAAGAGCTACAGGGAGAACATTGCTAAAATAAATTATTTGAAAATTGTCTGAATGAAGGAGGAAAGAGTTTTCTGATTTCAAGTCCATTTTGAACATTTTTCAAACAAAATATCTAGAACTCCAAGCTTGCAGTTCATGTTTCTTCAGGTGCAACCACAACAGCCTATGAACACATCTGCAGTGGTTTGAATGTGTAATAGACTAGCTAACAGTCCTAAAATAGCTGCTAAGGAATCTTGCCTCCCAGTGCATGTGGTTTAGCAGCAGTGCTCTTTCAGTTGTACAATTAATAAGCAGGCTATAGCAGACTTAATTCTTAAGTTATGTAATTAAGACCCTTCAGTCTTCAGAGACAACCAGCACTGATGAGGACTAAGTGCAAATCAGAGAAGACTTCTAGAACAAGACTTTATCACAGACACCTAATCTCTACTAAAATAATAACTGGCAATATTTGATATCATTTAACAGCATCTTGATGTGATTTGTATTAAAGTCAACCTCTTTAGGTTGATCCATTACATTTGTCTGGTTATGCAAAAATAACAGTATTTCATCAACCTTTTCATCATATAATCCTTTTCAGATCAGCATTCTACATCACAGGCTCTTCAGACACTAATTTTAAAGCTGTTCTTTCTTCTCGTGTAGATTTATGTTACTCTTTGCTTGTTTTTATAATTACAAAGAAGGTTTGATTTTTTTTTAATGCTGTGTCTCTATTTTTTTAAAACAAGAAATTAATTCCTGTCTACATTGGCTCTCTGAGAAAAGTACCAAATTAATAGAATGACTTCATGAAAAAAAAGGCAGCAATTGAAGATAGATTAAATTTTGAGAATTGATTTTTGGTTATACTTCCAGTTTAATTTAATCACATCTTCAAACTACTGGCACTCGTTTGAAGTAAAACAATATGACTGTGCAGTGAGGGGAAAAAAGATAAGGACTTATTCCTCTGTTCTGCTTGGGCTAGCTAAGTTACAGCTTGACCTCGCAGCACAGTACTTAGACTGGGATCAGGTTTATCTGCATTAGGATTCTTGATGGCTACAGAATGTGAACAACTTCAGACTGAACTGTCCAAAAAATGCTTGGAAATAGAAAGGAATGGAATTTATCGTTTCTAAAACCACACAGTTTTGGTTTGTAAAAACAGTCACAGACTAACTATCTGAACACAAAACCACCTTGTTTATTCTCAGTTTTTCTGAGAGTGATCACTGACAGAAAGCAACACTAACTCACATTTCAAATGAGAACCTAGAGGCCTTAAAAGTTACATTTCTCCCTCTACAGTTAAGTATGAACAATGCATGCAGGTTTATGCCAAAAAAAAAAAAAAAGAGAGAACTATAACAAGCAAAACTGCAATTACAATGTGTTTTATTCTTGGAAACTCATACAGATCACACTGGAATGTGAGGGCATGAGGAGATACACTAGTGTGGATGTATTATTTCTTCATTTTTCAGATTTTAAAAGTATTATGAAGACTTTCAATGTTCGACGTACAGCACAGCTATCACAATACCCCATGCCATGATTCATAGAGAAATGAAAACAAATCCAGTGTTTGCCATGATATATTAAACAATTGTTGCCAGCTATCCAAAGTCAGAATATCCCCATGGCTTTCTGAGGGATTTGAACTTTTCCGAGTTTATCACAGAAATACCATATGCTAATATACTCTCAAAAACACAGAGATTTTTTAGGACCCAGTACAGTAAAAAAGAAGCAAGAGGCTCTCTTCACATCTGAAAAGTAAACAATGAGATAACACAAGCAATACTGCTATGGATACAAATTAGTAACCAAGAGCAACACTTAAGTGACTTGAGAACATGCTACAATTTGCTCATCATCTGATAGATATGGTGGATAACAATGTGTCTTTTCATGGATGGGCTGGGAGTGAACTGCAGGAGAAAAATAAAGTTGGGGTTTTTGTTTGTTTGTTTGTTGTACTTCATTTTTATTTTGGATATTCTCTTCTTGATGCAGTACTGGCAACCATTTTCAAAATTTTATTCCATGGTAAAAAGAACAACAACAAAAACCCCCAATTTTATTTGTATCAAGAGGTTTCTAATAAGACTGACCCGTTTTAGATAACAGAAACCAACTTTCCAGAATTTAAGCATACTAAAATGGAGCGTATTTATTCTGTAACTCACCCCCTGCAAACATATTATCTTATATTGACATAGCTCAGGCATGAATTTAGTGTTTTTCTTTCATTTAAAAGAAAAACAGAAACAAATTCTCAAAGTAAAGACAAATTCTTAAATGTGGGGCAATAATCAAGACCTCTCTCATCAGAAGTTATCCAATTACTTTCTGCTTCAGGGTAGGAGCAGGTCACTGTCTGTGGTTGAGAAGTGGACTTACTGAATGGATCTCACCCAGCACACCGGATCCTACAGTTATTTTTACTCTCCCTCATGAGGAGCTCAAAGGTATGCCAAGACTACATTCACAGAAAGCGTTAACAACAGCAGGCATTAAGCATGCATTGTGAACAGTAAATGAATACACAGCATTGAAGATTCTTTCATGAGTTTATCAGCCTAAATCCTTAACCAGCTAAACCCTGAGCTGATATATTTTATCTAGGTACTTCAGCGTTCTAAAGTTGGACTTTGAAATAGTGGTGAAGGTGTATGTAACATTACAAAACAGAAATAAGGGAAATGATGCATAGTGTACTCAGAAAAAGTGGTTTTGAGGAAATAAGATTAATTAGTTTTTCATTTCTGTGAGCAGAGTCTTACTTGAATAAAGCACACACGATAATCTCTAGTATTAAGTGTCAACATATGTTTTAAAAATCAGCAGGAGACCACTCAAAGAGCACATTTACTAAGAGAAATTTTTAAAAAATCAAATATAATAAAATAAAAATTGACAAGATACATTCTGTGAGGACTTGGGAATATCTTATTAGTATTTCATGCAGTCTATTAACACAGCATTATTATGAGTTAGCAGCAACTTTAGAAACACAAATCAGCTCAGCTGGTACAGCAGAATTATAGCCAAACTCAGCTGTATCATACTCAGTTATCTCTCTGCCATAAACCCCCTTTGCTTTCAGGACTATGATGACTACACTTATATGCATGTATGGTCTTTGCAAAAGACGAAGTAAAAACCCCGATGAGTCTTGCCAAAACAGGGGAGAGGGCAATTTCAGTAGGCAAATATTTTTGTTCCATATACCTTAAGAACTGACCAACTGAGGTACTTGCCTGGTAAAGCACGTTTCTGCAAGGTCTGAGGTCAGTGGTCTTTGAGGCACATTTTTCCCAAGAGAAAAAAGAAAGTAGGTATTCTACTTTTGCTGGTGGAATTATGTTTTCCAAATTAAAAATACTACAGATGCAAACTCCAGATGCAGTTCTGTACGGGAAAATAATCCAAAGTTAATACATTGTTCTACTGGGAAAACAAGTCTCCAATCATTTTTCTAATGAGCCTGAAACCACGCTTTTTGCTTCAAGCTGGTGGCTTGAAGCAAAAAGACAAATTCAGTGGTCTGTATAGCATTACTATTTGGAATATCTGTCTGGACGACTCAAGACCTGTGTAAAGCAATCCCCAACAAAGACTTCCACTGCTTTATAAGGCTGAAACAAACTGAAAGGTAGAGAGACCTAAAAAAAACCCAAAAAACCCCACCAAAAACAGAGGATGGAACTGAATTCATATGCAGATAAGAACATGAGAAAGAGCCTGACAATGCCTTCAGTTTGGATATCTGACTTTTCTGATCAGACAGAAAAAGAAAGGAAATTATGTTTACCAAAATATGGTAATATTCCAGCTAAGAATGAAAAAGCTTTAAATCTCTTTTAAGAAAAGTGCCCAAGAACTCTTTGTTGTAGAAAGCAATGCTTCTGTACACAAGCTCCCATCTAAATTAGACAGGAAGAAGAAAAAGCATTACTGTATTTGTTCGTATTAATAAAATACAAAACATAAGCTATACATCATGACCATAGGCAAAGAAGAACTGGGAAACAGGTACGTAAAGGAAGATGTGGGAGAAAACCTTTGAAGCTGAAATATACCTGTGAAAGTATTGTCCAAAGTACCGAGCACACAGCTTAGAGCACACATTAAAACCTGGATTGGAAAGTTATAGCTGTGCAGAGTACATAGCTTTCTAAGACTTTTTGACTTATGCCTGAATGTGAAAACTACCTTTAAATAGAGAGAGATCAAATTAAAAACTTAAAAATAAAAACAGTGGGTTACACAATGAGATCAGTGAGGAGGTACTTTACGGGGAAAACCTGAGAATTTTCACAGATTTTACAACACACTGTAATTCAAAACGGGTTGACTTAAAGGAACACTCAAGATTTTGTACATGCTACTAACTTATTTAATTGAAGAACTGTGAGAAAACAGGAAAAATGTGATAATTACTAGATCTGTAGTCCTTCCTTTCTTGGTTGTTTATCCAGCACCCGGCTGTTATCAGTGCACTGTGCTTGCTAGTCCATATTGTTGCACACCAGGCCAGCTGCTAACTGATGGAGAACTGTGAAGTTTATCATGACACTGGACATTCTCACTGCAAACTTGAGATGGGCCAAAATCCAACTGACTGCCGAGGAGTTTTCTGAACTCTCCAGGCAACCCCTTTGCAGCATGATGGGGCAGGAAGGACACAGAGCCACTCTGGCCATCAAACACCCTCCTCGTCTTCAAGATTAAAAATTAACTGAACTACTTGCAGCTAATGCCATGTCAGTAACTTTTATTTCATGTTAACCAGTTTCCACTACAGCAGAGTTTTGCTCGGAGGAAGTTAATGTCCTTTTCGATTCCAAAATGAGAGGAAAACCTTGTAGCG